ACCCTAATTTGTGATTCTTGTTCATTTTTTTGAGTCAATTCTTACCATGTTTGTGAACCCATTGAGGTTAGAGATTAGATAAACTCAAGGACATACTTATAAAGGCTTGAGAGGCATTTTATCTCTTTTGATAATTTCTCATTTCATTTTGAGATTGATCCTTGTTTATGCTTCTTTGTTAATTAAGTGAGATATAATAAATGCACTTGTGCAACATATGAGGAATCAAGGTTCCTTATCTTTACTCTATTCTCACAAATTTTTTAGGATCTTAAGTTCAAGGTGTTTGAACCATATAAGCATCCTAACATGTTTTTGTTCATGTCCTAAATTCATCAAATGAGATCAAGGTTAGGAATTTGTTTTGATGCATTCCTTTGTCAAATACCTTTGATCCATAATGAATGAAATTTTTGGCTTTTCTACTGACTTCTAAGGTCATCATACTTTTAATACATAGATCCCATGATTCCATGTCTTGCACTCAATTACAAGTCCGTTATGATGACAATTGGGAGCCATATTCTTGTTTTGACCTAGTTTGTTTATGATGATGTTTGAATTCTATAAAGAACCTAGGTACAAGATCTTTTTGCTTAATTACTGATTTTGACCTCTCTCTTCATCTCATTTCTCATTCTTCTTTGATCCTTAGTTAAGAACTTACTTGCTAACCAACATGGTGACACATAAATAAGAAACCATATTCTCTTTTCTGCTTATGTTTTGAGCATCATTGTCTAGTGATTGCTTCATGAGCTTTTGTGCCAAGTCCCATGAAAGTATCTTGATGTTATCTACTTTCCATAACATTTAAGAACAATGACTTTGATTTATTTAAATCATAATGCTTGTTTGCATCAAGAGACTATACTTTTCCAAAGTATCATGACACTTGAGTATGTTATCTTGTTGACATTTCTTGAGGCTTTGAGTTCATGATTGATATCTTGTAAGGGTTTCACCATTACCCTATGACATATAAGATATGATTTCACTCTTACTTGATCTTTATCGATCTGATTTTATCTAAGACAAGTGTCATTTTTTAAGATAATGTTTTTCATCAACTAGGTAACTTTTCTTGTGTATGAAGTTTCATCTCTTACCTGGTTTCTGTTGAACATCATATTTAGTTAAATCACTATACAATTCACACCTTCCATTATTCTTCAATTATGCTTTCATCATTTGATCTATACTTGTTTAAATTTTAACATACTTGCTTGCCTCCTTTGGCCACTTACTTTGTGTTCCATGTATGCATTCTTTTCCTCATGCTTGTGATGTTTGAATGTGAGATCTTAGAGATCATTTTCTACTTACTTGTATGCTTTTACACCCTCTAAATATGTTTCCTCTTCATCTATCCCTTTCTTTTGCTTCACTCACCTTTAGGGGCATGTTAAGGCGTGGTTTTGTCTCTTACTTGTGCTAACTCTTGAATGTGCTTTAGTAGTGATACCTTAGGGTTGTTAGAGGTCTTTAATGTGTGTTTTCTTTAATTTTTTTCTTATGAATTCAAACTTACTTGACATGTCATGCCATGATCACTTGATCAGACACTTGTCCCCACTTCACATCACAACTTTGATTGAAACTAGTTTGTGTAATTTGGTGTTTGTACCATGTTTTCAATGACTAATTGAATTTATTCTTGACCATGAGGTTTATGAGAAGTGCATAACATGTCTATTATCCATCTCTTCTTCTATTAGTTCTTAGGTTTCTATCTAATTGCATGTGTGTTTATGGGATACTTGCTTTCAATCCCTTATGATTGTTTGCTTGCTTGCTTCTTCTTCTTCTCTTTTGAGAGATTGACATGTTCCCCATAGGACCTTTAATTCATTCTTCTCTAAAGTTTGAACAAAATAGACCTTAAGTTTTCTATCCATGCATGACAACATTAGGTAGATCTCCCTCTTATCCCAATTGTAGGTCTACAAGCATGTCAACATATAGGATTGAGATCCCCTTTTGTTAGTCTTTTCTCTTTTGCTTCTATGTTAGGACTAAAACCTTTTTCTTTGGAAAATGTGTAAAACACCTAACATCTCTCAAATCCTTTTTCAATTTAAAAAACACCAACCAATGCAAATCATTTTGTCTTTGGACATCTTCCTTTAAAACCTTTTCAAAAAGGACATGCTTCGCTAGCATTATTCATAAAAAACATACAACTGACCAAAACTTTTTATGTGAACTACGAGTGCCTTGATCCCCATTGCACGGTCGGTGGCACATAGGCAAAAGATATGCAACCGCGAAAGGAATTACTAACAAAAACGTTTCTTTTTGGTACATAATACTTTGCATCCATGCATTTTCTTTTAGCATTAAGCTTTAGACGTAGATCAGATACACCCTTAGATTAGAACAAACTTAAGTGAATCCTGTGGAGTACCATAGAAGTGAGGGGTGCTAACACCTTCCCCTCGTGTAATCTAATTCCTTACCTTTTTTCTCTTAGTAATTATGACCATGCTCCTTTCCTTCCCTCCGGTTTACTCAGTGTTTCCTTTCCTTATCTTAGGATAAGTAACATTGATGGCAACTCTTCTATTTTTATCCGCCTCCGTCGCGCTTCGATGAAAATCACAGACCCGACAAATGAATTCCCTATTTTTGAAATAACTTGTAACACACCAAAGGTATTCTTCTACAATGTTGATTTCAGAACCTGGTGATGTCATACACCTCTTTACAAGAGTCAGAACCTATATGACAAAATCCACACACTAAACAGAAACATGTTAGAGTATACAATTGTTCTTAAAGATAACATGTAAAGTTATCATCAAAACATAAGGTCAGATGTAGAACAAACTCTGTTTTTACAAATTCTTCTAGATGTGAAGACTTATACTTGAGAATGTATTGGATTGTGTTTCTTATTGAGAATCATCAAGAGCTTATTTAATTGCTTCTTGAGCTTCAAAAGTTGGATTAGCTTTTGGGTGAACATCTTCTGATGGTTGAGAATCTTTTGAACATACATATTTTGAAGATTGAGTAGACTCTAAACAGTTCACCGTAATGGGTTGTAAGACAATGGAACAACTAATTCTAGAGGAGTCTTCAGATACTTGCAAATATACAAAATTCTCAACAAGCTCTGTTATTTAGTGCCATACTCCTTATCATCAAATTTGACATGTATAGACTCTTCAATGGTATCAGAGTTATACACCCTATATGCCTTAGAGAGTTTAGAGTATCCTAAAAAGATACCCTTTTGAGTCCTGGCATCAAATTTGTTATTATAGACTTTGTTGCTCATAATGTAACAAGTACATCCAAACTGATGAAAATAAGAAATACTTGGCTTTCTTCCATTGAAAAGCTCATATGATGTTTTTTTAGAAGAGATTTAATATAGATTTTGTTCTCAACATAACATGTCATGTTGATAGCTTTTGCCCACAAGTACTTTGGAAAATTGTTTTCATGGATCATGGTTCTAGACATTTCTTATTAAGATCTATTTTTTCTCTCTACAACTCCATTTTTCTGTGGAGTTCTAGGAGAAGATAACTCATGGAGAATTCCAATTTTTCACAAAAAGTTTCAAATGGCTCATTTTCAAATTCACCTCCATGATCACTTCTGATCTTCAAGATTTTTTTTAAATATTTTTCATTTTGTGCTTGTATGCTTAAGATGTTGAACACATCATATGATTCATATTTGGATGTAAAGAATTTAACCCAAGTCCATCAACTGCAGTCATTAACTATGAACAGTCCATACTTCTTCCCATTGATTAATGCAATACTAACAGGACCAAATAGAACAAAGTGAAGAAACTCTAAGGTGTTATACCCAAATTTTTACCCTCTTTATTTCACCCTTGTCTGGCTTATTTTTCATCATCATACACATGCATACATATCATTGGTTATATGGTTATGGGATCAAGGCGTTTCTCCTAAGCCTCGTCAGGTTACATAAGACGTTTTATTTCGTCAATCAGCACGCTTATAGAATTCTCCAGGATATTTAATCAGTGGGAAGTCAATTCTTCATCATGACAAGATCTCATGTGTTCCAACAGGCCTGAATTGTATAGAAAATCAAGCATTTTAGTCAATTCAGAACAATTTGAGCAGAAAAGTAGTATTTCGTAGTATGACTTCAAAAATTCATAACTTCTGATCGGAAAATAATTTTTAAGTGGGTCTTTGGGCATTAGTACCGCCTTGACATCCTCTTTAACTCATATCTTCGGATCGAGAACCAATTCTTTGAAGAAGATCTTCGAATATGCAAATACCTTGAAATTGGTGTTATGAAATGTTTGTCTGGTTGATTGTTTATCGGATGTTGCAAAATTCATAACTTGTGACCAAAAAATTATCTTTGGGTGGTTCTTTGGGCATTAAATTCGTCTTGACATCCTTTACATTTCATATGTTCGAGTCGGAAGCTAACTATGTGAAGAAGATCTCTGAAAGTGCAAATTACCTGAAAATTCCACAGTGAAACAGATGTTTAGTTGATTGTTTTCTCGATATTCAAAAAAACATAACTTTCTCGTTTCTCAACATTTTGAGACGATTCTCAAAGCATGGTATCAAAAATGTTGTTAGCTATAACTTTGCTTCAGGTCCCGAGTTTATATTGTGCTTCGAAGGCTTCTGTTTATGGCTCGCTTCTCAAATCTATACAGTGGAAAAGTCACGCAACCAAAACAGAGGGTTTTTTGTCTCAAGTTTCCCGTCATTGCAAAATTCATAACTTTCTCAATTTTTATCGTATCGGGGTGATTCTTTCATAACAATGTCACAAATTTATTCATCTACGATTTTGCTTCAGGACTCAAGTTCAAATTCCGCATCGAAAGTTATGAGCTTGTGGTTTGTTTCTCAAGCGTACACAAAATAAGCTGAAAATTCTGCATTATTTAAAAAAAAAACAAGGAAAAACTAGTTTTTTGCCATTTTCCAAACATGGCCTTAGCTCACTTCTATATAATGTTTTTATTCAATTTCAAAATCACTTTTTTTTATTTTATACAAAAATCACTCAAGAGACAAAGAAAAGCTCTCAAAGAAGCAAGTTCTGTCAAGATCCCTTTCCTTCTTTCTTCCTCCCTCCTCGTCAAAAGACCTCTCGCCGGAGCAATCGCCGCCGGCCAAGCCTCCTACTGGTCTCCCTCTCCCCTTGCTCGGATACCATGGTCCACCCTTCCCGCCGGTCTTCTCAATCGAACATGCTCCGTCTTGCTCTTTCGCGCCGAAACTCCCTTCGACTTCTACCTCCGTCTCCACGTGAAAATTCCTCTATGGGTAGCTCCTCATTTCGATCGTTGCTTCCTTCTCCGATTCAATTGCTTCGCATTATTTTTGGTAACTTCTTTAATCTTGCTTGTGTTAATTATTGTGTTGAGATTTAATTGTGAATTCACTTGAGATAGTGTTGGTCTAACTTGATTTGAATTTAATTGTTACATAAGCTAATTTTGAATTGTGAAATAAGTGCTTATTTGAATTAAACATGAGTTAAATATTGTTTTGTTGAATTAACTGATTCTTGAATCTTGATGATGGATAAATGCGGCATCGTTTGATTTAAATATTGTTGATTGTGAAATCTATGCGTCGAAATTGATTATCATTCGATTGTGTTGTGATTTACGCGTTGTAATTTGATTCTGCTTTGAGATTTGTTGATAATCTGTTTAAAGTCATGTATCAGAATCAAGTTTTGATAATGTCGATAATGTGTTTTCGTCGCGTAATCAATTTTTTATGAGTTACTTGGAAGTGTTGGTACCGGTACCGGTTTATTAATTACAACTTATTTGTGAATTCTGGTTGATTTTTCATGTGTGGATATTTGGCTTTTGTGCATTAAATTGTTGATTTTGAATTGATTTTCGGAAAACATCAGTACATATATGATGGTTGCCCGGAGTTCACAAATATGTTGCATGTTGTGTTTTAATTTTTTCTCGATGCATAAGTGATTATGTGTTGGTAATTGGTGGATACCGGTATCAATTTTTGTTAATTTAAATCCGACTTTTTGAGCATTTCATTTATTATTTCAATGCTGTCCGGAAAATGATTTTTTCATGTTCATTGTGATTTAATTCATACTTGTTGCATATTTGAGCTTGTTAGCATATTTGATTAACACTGATATCAAGTTTGATCATTTTTAACTCAAATTTTTTAGCATTTCATGAAGCAACACATGGTTGTCCGAAACTTGTCTTTTGCATACATATTGTGATTTATTTCATAATTAATGCATATTTGAGCTTGTTACCATATTTGTTGGATACCGGTATCAAGTTCGGTTGATTTTATTCCGACTTTTCGTGAACTCTCATGTGTTAATGTGTTGTTGCCCAAAATTTTATTTTAATGTTCCAATGCATGTTTGATCTTATTTCTTCACAATTCAATCTTGACTTAAGTTGTAATGTGAGTACTTCGTTCCGTTTATGCATCCTTGTTATTTCTAACTCTTTTGTTTACTTGTGAAAGGTATTTCAAGAGAGCTTTCAATCATTTAGTTAATTCTTGGCTATTCGATTGAAAATAATTTTATTCCACTTCTGTATGGATTTGAGTTCGCTTCTGACGTGCTTGATTGTGTTTCTCATTCCATGAGACGTATACATTATTTGTGCTTTTGTCTGGATCTGTATTTTTGTGCAGATTTATTGTGCGACATTCGATGTATCCGATACTTTCTGATTGTGATTTATTTTTACATTGATGAAGCTTTGATGCTTATTTCAGACGTTTTGACTTTTGATTTCTTTTTATTTTTTCTGTGAAGCTTTTGTGAAGTTTTTCGGGTTTCTTACGCTTTGTTGAGCTATACACAGATTGTTATATGTTTGGTACCTTTTGTTGTACCCCAAAATTTACGCTCTTTTCATATACGCATATCATTGGTTTTATGGTTATGGAATAAAGGTATATTTATCAAGCTTCTTCAGGTTACAAGTGACGTTTATTTCGCCAATGGATGTTCTCAGAGTATTTTCCGTGCTGAAGATCGGTTCGCCATTTTGCAACGATTCGGGGTTCAAAGATTCACAAGTCCAACCCGGCGCGTTATATTCAGGTGTTCTTTCACCAAGATATCTCTGATAACATATTCTCAAATTTAGGTTCGGTTCAAGAGTCAATTCTTTAAAGAAGGTCTCCGAATGTGTGAGTTTTCTCGAAGAAATGTGGTGAAAAAGTGTGCTGAAAGTGCAGTTTTTACGTGCTAAAAAATTCATAACTTGAAGATCGTGGCTCTTTTTGAACCCGTTCCGGTGGCCAAAATTCCGTCTTGACGTTATCTACGTTTTCATCTCTGATGGTTGGAAGCCAATTTCGATCAGAAGGTCTTCAAAAATGCGGATTTATCAAGTATTTTCGTACAGAAAATTTGTGACAGAAGTTTATTTGCGTCATGATCAGAAAATCATAACTTGGTCAATTTTCATCATATCGAGCTGGTTCCAGCGCCAAAATTTCAAAAATTCAGTTGAATACGTTTTTACAGGAGGTTTCGAGTTCGAACGGTATCCAAAAGAACTTCGTTTTTTGCTCAGAGTGCGCGTGACACGCCGAAAATCCTGAATGCTAAATATTATGTCATCTGGGTCGAAACTTCCAAAATTCATAGCTCGGTCAATTTTTATCGGATTGGGACCATCTTTTTACATAAGGTCACTGACTCAGAGATCTACAACTTTTCTTCCAAAGTCGAGACGGGTTATGCTCTGATCAATACCAGTTTTTTATTGAAGAACGTGTCAGAGTCGACACTAGAGCCTAAAATAAGTTTGTTTGAGCTAAAACTTCAAAAATTCATAACTAATTCACCGTTTATCCGATTGAGCCCATTTTCGCACAAAAGTTAGTTCTCAATGTCGGCTACATTTTGTTTTCACATTTCAACTTCAAAAATTGCACTTAAGCCCATGATATTTAGCGTGGAATGTGACGAACTCAAGTGAATATTGGAGGCCTAATTGCACATTCAAAACTCATATCTTTGCTCTAATTTCCATTATATAATCTTATTCTTTTCACACAAAGAACAACAGAGGAGAAAAAAAACCTTTGCCACAACCCTGTCATAATATCAAATTCTTTCAAGAACCCTAAAACCTTGAAATCCTTATTACAAACTGAAATTCTGGTGTATGCCAGTCTTCAGATGTTATACTCAATGTCTAGACATCTGATATGACATAATAAATACACTGCAAGGTAGATACCCAATTTTTCATGATTCAGTACTGAAGGGTAACAGAAGCACAGTTTAACCAAGTTGTGCCAGATCTACTTTGAAGGTGCAGAGGATAGAACACCGATGTGCCTAATTCTGTTCATCTGTTGCACATGATCAGCAGAGAGCAAACAGTCTTTGCAGTTCTGTTTCTTCTGCACAGATATCAGCATGATGTCTTAACATGTTCTGAGACATCATCTGTTACAACATTACAGTTTTACCTTGATATATAACAGACAGAATTATAAAGTGTTGAAGGTAAAAACACAAATCAGTTGTTGACCCAGTTCGGTGAAACACACCTACTCTGGGGGCATACCAAGCCAGGAAGAAGATCCACTATCAGCAATATTAATTCAGGACTAAACTTCACAAGTTCCCATCCTTCACTTAATCATCTACCCAGTGCAACCTATACCTAGGAACTCCTAGATAGAAACCTACCAGTTTCCATTCCTATTGTCGCAACAACAGAAGTCTTACTCCTACTCAAGAAGCAGTGCCCTCCCACTTGGTTTCCTACATTACAATGAATATGAAGTAATGCAAAAATTACTTAGACTTGCTTCACAGCTTCATCCAAGAACACTCAAACTCTTACCTACAGGTTTCGAGTTACATACATGGTAACCTTGCCACAGACCGACAGGTTTACCTAACAAAACACCCCCAATGTTACATTATGTGAGCTTACAAATGATCTTCTGACCAATAGGGGATTCCTTGAAAAACAGCAGCTCTGTTGAATATATAGCAGCTGCAACTTCAGTTAGGGTTTCCACAAAAACCTAGGGTTAATTCCGTTTGACCTAAAGACCAGGTCACAGGACTTTATTAACCAGGTTAGGGTTGAGCTAGGTTACCCCTCAGAAAACGCAGGATTCTGTTCAGGAAAGACTGAGTTATTTCCTGAAAAAACTCAGACTTATCCAACCTGCAAACCTGTTAGTTCAGAACAGGATGTCATAACATCTGTTATGACATCTGAGAAAACCTGTCTACTGATTTAGCAAAATGTGATCATTTTGCAAAATGCTCAGATACACACTTATAAACATCAGTACTTGAATTACAATATTTTTCTGCAAAGGTACCTAATGAGTCGGTACAAACTGAACTAGAATGTTATGACATCAGTCATGACATTCACACATACACTTGGGATTTACCAAAAATGCAAGCCAATTCCTAAACACTTACAAACTCCCCCTTTGGCAGATTTTTGGCTAAAGACCCTAAGCAATCAGAGATAGATAGCAGCAGGAATAAGTGACAGCAGAAAAATAGAATGTCAAGTACCAAAATATTCTCCCCCTCTTTAGCCACAAATGGGCCAAAGATACATGTCCATAAAATTATACAGTTATCCAAAACAAAAAATAATAAGAGCAACAACAGAAAACAACTGAATACACTTCCAAACTCCACCAGATATCAGCACCAACCAGCAACACCACCAAATAGCAACCAACCTTTAAGCACTGTCATCAGGCTCGGAGGATTCTGGCTTCTTCCTTTTCTTGTGAGCAATGTCAACATTCTTTTCTTTGTCTGATGTCTCAACATCCTTAGAGACATCTGGATTTAAAGGAACAGCATTTGAACTTTCTTGATTTAAAGGACTACTCCCCACTCCACCAATTACTAGAAATCACACTCTGCCTTAGTTATATAATACCTTTATTAGATGACAAGTTATCACCTAAACATTCCAGCTCACTAAAATGCTTCATAATGAGACACAAACACCCTGTTTTCTTAGCAGATGAAAACATGCTCAAATCCTATGTCGTCATACATTCTGCTATTTTCATATTAGCAGCTTGAAACCATTCCATTTACACAAAGAGGATGGTTACTCCTTCTGAGTCATACAACTGTACACACATGGGCTTATTATAACAAATTATAATAATCCATACTTCATCCAATTTTCCTCCTGTCTGTAGTTTTAGAGGAAATTAGGAACAATGTAATTAGACAATGTGATGACATTCGGTCAGATATAGTCCTCTTCAGTCTTGAACACATCATCCCAATAGTTAATAAAGTGCCACACTTTATATCCTACGAGTTTGATGAAGACTTCCCGTACAAACCAATACTCCCCCTGTTAGGGACAATCACTTCTCCTCATGGAAACAAGTAGGTCACATTCAATACT